TCTTGTGTTTTGGCTATAAAACTCTTCTCCCACTCTGAGCTTCCTGGACTCTCTTCCTTAGCATGATCTTCTGCAGTGGCCCTAATTTATAGTTGCCTACCTCTAGCCTAATCTGGCCTCAGCAGGTGGGACCTGAAATCAGCAATCATAGTACAGAAGTGGGCAACATCTGGCCCTTCAGCTATTTTGGCTTACAACTCCCACCATCCTTAGTCATCATAGCCAATGGTGAAGGATATGAGAGCTGTAAGCCAAAAACATCTGGAGGCATAAGTTGCCCAGTCCTGTACAGAGACTGCATAAGTGGATCATCCAGTCCCCTTTTAGGCCTCTGCCCCCCCTCTGCCCCCCAGCCCTTAAGCCCTTTATGATACAGTTGAAATCGCTCATTTACTTTTTTTTAATTGGATGGGTAACTTGTATGATCTATGCTTTACAAATCAGATAATCACTCAGAACTAAACAAACCCCCAGGCATATCGTTTTAGTCATATTGAAAAACACCAGCCTGCTTATTTTGTACTTATTTGTATTTTATGCTTATTTATTTCGTACTTCTCAGTTTTCATGTAGTTCAAAGAAAATGGCTTCCCCCAGCTGATTTTTGAATAATTCAGCTGTTTCAGTAATTCCATTCTTTGTCTTTTATACAGCTGTATAACTCAGTTTTGTATGTCCTGGGTTGTTGCTTAGTGGAGCAACACCCAATAGAAAATGGTGCACAAAGAGAAATACTGCAAGGCTAAGCTTACCATGCTGCAAAGGATAGCAAAGTACAGTGCCCGATGCAGCATCGCAGGTCAGATATTCCTGTCCCTTTATTGCTAGGCTGGCCCAGTGCAGAAGAGTGCCATCTGTAAGCTGTGCTTCTTGTCTGCTCCTTCCTGCCTCTATTATGCAAGCACAAAGGCTGGGTACCTTTAGAGGCTTGCCATGCAAGGGCGTGTTGCGTGCCGCGCCCTAACCTTCACCCTGCTGCATGTTGCCTGGGTTAAGCAGGCAAACAAAGGCAGCGATTAAAGGGCAATGCCAGGGACTGGCACTTCCTCCTGTGGTGCCTGGGGGGAGAGCAAAATCCAGGGATGGCCATCATCCGAGCCTGGTGATGCCTAAGATATTTGCCCACTCTAATAGTGCCCACCTGGATCTCTTTCTTTCATCATCCTGGATTGCTGCATTATTAACCTCAGTATCATCTGTGGCATCACAGATTCCCTTCTGAGTCTGCCTCCTCCTACCCCCACTCTACAGTGTCCCCATAATTTGATGCTGTGCAGGTTAGTTATGTGATGTCAAATGGCCTCTGACCTAGGGCAACTCAATGAACGGAAGTCCTCCAGCATCTCCTGCTCTTGACAACCCTGCTTGACTCTTGTAAACTCAAGGCTGTGTCCCCTTTATGGAATTGATCCATCTTGTATTTGGTCTTTCTCTTCTTGTGCCAGAGGTCTCAACTGATCACTTGAAATTAGGTCAGTGGTTAAGGTGTGTGTGTGAACTGAGCCAGGAGAGTGTCTACTGATCCACACTGCCATGGCAAAGGGTTTGCCCATAAAGTTTGGGCAATGGCATGCCTTGCGCCAATCTGACCCAGGACTCCTCCAGTAAGGAACCAGCTGGTGTGGTGTATAAAGACCTTATGGGGCAGACAGGGCACCCAATTCCAATGATGCCCTGACAGTCCTAGCATCCAAGGAAAGGTAGAGTTTCTTCCCAGCTCTCAACAGCACCCATTCTAGAAGGTGCACGTGACCACTGGTGACCAAGGGTGTTCCGCAAGGCTCAAAGGGGCCAGGCTCTTGGGAAGGGGCTTCTCCGGAATAAGGAGGCCTTGGAGGCTGAATTAACCACTTGCAAATGGGCCTGGGCAGTCTTGTGAGAGACTAATCCATATCAATGTTCAGTTAAGGTTTGCTGGTTCTTCAACCCACCCAGATGTTTTTGACCTTGCTTCCCATGCTGACTGGCCTTCCTATGCTATACCCCCTGGGATCCTGCTAGACCTTTGCTTCTAGAATGAGGCAAACCTGCTTCACCATGTTTGGCTCCAGTTTCTCTTTGAGAGCTCTTTTTTAATTGTCCAGATACCTTGTGTTTGTTATTTTCCTGGCTGTGGGCAGCACCCAAAGGATTGCAGAGACTCGGTTCAACCAGTCAGAGGCCAAGACAGGATTCTGACTAGGAAGGACAGGCAAAGCAAATCGGCATTGCCCATTTTCATTCACCCACTTATTTTTGGTTTTGTTTCAACTGGGCATCTTTAGGACTGGCTTGATTTAAATCAAGGTTCAGTAAGGCTTTAGCCCAGGAAACTTTATCCAATTCCAGGGGCTGACCAGCCCAAGGATATGTGAAATCAGAAGTAAGTACATGTAAAAAGCCTTTCCTTCACCACTGAGTAGTAATTATCAGTCATTACACATCATGGACAAAGAGGAAGGACTTCCAGGAGCCCCATCACCTCTTATTTTAAAAATTAGCACTGCCTAAAATATGCCACAGTCCACTGGGGTGCTCACCCCAACCTTGTCTGCTTCTGGTGCTTGATTAGGAGCCGGGTTTAAGAGTAACATTTTGTATTAGCGTTTTGCCTCAGTTACATTTGAAAAGGTACAAAAAGTTATACTTTATGCTATTTTCATCCCCTGTATGACTCACAAACTGTAGCTTTCAAAGAGAGAAGAGAGGCCTATCACTTGGGAAAGAGATCTTATTTATGACAAACAGATGTTTTTACACCAGATAAAGATGAATCCTGAACTCTCAGCAGTACTTACTGGGAATTGTATGTTTACTTGACTCTATTAAAGGCAACATACAAACATGTAATGTGTTGAATGGTTGAATCCTCAACGTTCATGTTTAAGAATGGTTCACCATATTTGCCTTGAAAATGTGTGATGAACTGATTAATACTGTGTACATGGTTCCTAGTCATGTTCCTTATTCCTGTACAACCATCTAAGCCTGATTTTGTGAATAGTGGTTCTTGTTTATGTCCGCAAGCCAGCTTCATGGTTATAAAGTTATGGCTGTTGGGGCAAATTTAGCTATAATTAGTCAGCTTAACCCCGTTTTCAGTTCAGTCCCTTTGAAAACACATCTGCAAAGATCAGCAGGACTAAAGCTAAAGGTTGATACATGGCTTGGGGGTTATTTGTTGATACATCACAGGGTGCAGAAAAATGTGAGTGACTGAGGTTCTTCCAAATGGGTTTATGTAGATACTCAGACACATGTAAGAGCCAAGACACAGAGAGAAATGAACTACAAACTCATGTTTGTAGAGAGAGACCAACCCAAAGCTTGGCCGCTTTGTACCTTGTACTTTTAGCTGTAGGTATATGGGAAGGATCAGGGTTGGTATATCTCATACATTCTTCAGAATCCTTAGGTGTGGGTGTTTGTGTGGCTTCTCAAAAGTCAGCTTTTCTATGAAACCTTTAGTTTAATCCCTTCTTTCTCACACCCAACTGCTGCAACTATACTCACATTTAGTCTTTGCTGCTGCTACCTCTTCCTTACTCCCTCTGCTCTTCCTCAAAAATTCTGATAGGAAAATTCCTGGGAGCAGGAACCTATCTTTTGTTGTTGTAGATGAAACTCCCCAACGTGCCATGTACATGTGATGCAACTGTTTTTGTATTAATACATTCATAGTGATACAGCCTTTACATACATGCAAACAATTCTGAACTTTGGTCTACATGTATTTTCTAGAATCTGAATATGGTGGGCTGGTCTAAGCTTGAACATTAGTGCTTATTTTGAACGTGGCAAGGTGTACCTTTGTTTGAATTATGTTTTAAAGTGGCATTAAACTGTTTGTGTATACAGCTTTTGCATTCAGCATGTGATTATTCTGGACATATTTCTGTATTACTTGTATATCCATGCATGAATCCATGGCAGGATATACAGAGTTCCCCACGTATTGCATGAGCTATGTGGGTACAGTTATAACTATGGCAAAGACAGCTTAAGGGTACAATCCAATGCATGTTAAGGCAGAAAAAAAATCCTGTTTTCATAGGGTTACTCCCTAAGAATCCAAACAGGTTGAATTGTGACCTATTTGAGGCTGCTCCATGTCACAAAATATCTGCATGGGAGGTATTCTAAGAATATGCAAAACACAAGATAATTTTAGAAAGAAAATGCTTCCCTTGGATTTGGTAATACTGCAAGTTCTCTGAACATTGCAGTATCAGCTAAAGCATTTGGTGCCTGGAGACTGAAACTGGCCTATTTGGGGGAGCAACGTTTATCTGGTACACCTTTCTTCGAAGGAGGTCATGCTGACTTGCGGGATATTCTTTGATGCCCGGCAGGTTAACTCCTTCCCGGGATTACTGTGAGTCAAAGACCACCCAGCGAGAGGTATTTGAACCCAAGCTTCTCATGTCTCCTGGCCCCCACCCGCGCTCTCACGCGGAAGACACCGGCTGTCAAGAACCCTGTGGGTAAAACGAAAAAGAAATAAAAGGTTAGGAACTCCCGCAGGCTTTTTGTGGTGTACATCCGTAGCGCGTGCATCACCTTCCCCGGCAGTTCACAGCGCGATCCTAAACGCGTCCACTCAGCCGCAAGCTGACCTGCGCCCAAGTGCAGAGCGGCTTCCTGCCAGGAAAGCGGGGCTCGGGCGCAGCCCACAGCGCGGGGCGCCCTCTCGCTCCGCGTCCCTGCCGCGTCCCGCGGTCTGCCCCTTTCCTCCACCCACTTGCCCGCCGCGGCGGCTGCGTGCGTTTGTTGCTTGCTCCTGGGCTGCCCCCGCGCTTTCCCCCGCCCAGGCCCGCTCCTCTGACGCGAGCGCCGCGCGGCCCCCCCGCCCCGCGGGCTGTTTACTGGAGCACGAGCTGCCCAGCAATGAGCTCAGTTTCCCTCTTCGCGTGCCCTCGATGGGCGGGGCAGCGCGCGCCCCGCAGCCAATGGCGGCTCGCTTCCGCCCAGGCCATACTCGCGGCTGGAATAAAAGGCTCCGGGAAGCGCACGCTGCTGCTGAGATAATTCACGATCTGCACCTGCGCGCCGGACGTTTTCCCCCTTCAGCCGGTACGGTACTTTTTGCTTCTCGGGGAGGGCTCGAAGCCGGCACGCTCGTGCATCGGGCCCGCCTTCTGTGGGGGACAAACGTGAATCATCCGAGCTTAGTCAGGGCGGGTGGTTGGCGAAGCCGCCGGAAAGACGAGCCTTTTTCTGCTGTGCCTCTCGCTCTCAAATCTGGAAGTGAAGCTTGGGGAGGGAGGCGGAAGCTCGCTCTCCTCGCTTTGGGAGAAGACTCGACCCACGCCCCAGGCAGGCAGATAGGGAGAAGGCCCTTCCTCTGCGCCCCGGACGATCCTAGCCCGGGTTTCTACCCCCTCCCAGCGCGCGGCTGATGTGCACGAAGATGGAGCAGCCTTTCTACCCTGACTCCTTTTTCTCCGGCTATAGTCAGGACTACAAGACGCTCAAGTCGGGCATGGCCCTGAACCTGTCGGCCGAACCGTTCCGCGGGCTGAAGTCCCAGCTCCCGCATCATCTGCGCGGTCAAGAGGACGGTCCGGCGAGCTACTTTCCGGGCTCCCTTCAGCCGCAGGCCGAGACCGGCAGCTCCTCACTCAAGCTGGCTGCCCCAGAACTGGAGCGCCTCATCGTCCAGAACAGCAACGGCGTGATCACCACCACTCCCACGCCGCCGGGCCAGTACTACTACCCGCGCGGGGCCACCGAGGAGCAGGAGGGCTTCGCCGACGGCTTCGTCAAGGCGCTGGACGATCTGCACAAGATGAACCACATGCCGCCTCCCAACGTCTCGATCGGGGCGGTGGCGGCGGCGGCGGCGGCGGCGGCTTCTTCGGCCAGCAGCGGCTACGGGGCCTCCCTGCCTCAGGAGCCGCCTCCCGTCTACACCAACCTGACCAGCTACAACCCCGCCGGCACCCTGAGCAGCTCATCCAGCTTCCCCAGCGCCAACCTCAGCTACATGCCGCAGTCTCACGGCTTGCCCCTGGCCCACTCGGCGAGGGGCTTCAAAGAGGAGCCACAGACCGTCCCGGATGTGCAGAGCCCGCCCGTGTCGCCTATTAACATGGAAGATCAGGAGCGCATCAAGGTAGAGAGGAAGCGGCTGCGCAACCGTCTGGCCGCCACCAAGTGCCGGAAGAGGAAACTGGAGCGTATCGCTCGGCTGGAGGAGAAGGTGAAGACCTTGAAGAGCGAGAACGCGGGACTGTCCAACACAGCCAGCGCGCTGCGGGACCAGGTAGCGCAGCTGAAGCAGAAAGTCATGAACCACGTGAACAACGGCTGCCAGCTCCTTTTGACGGCCAAGATGCAACAGACCTTCTGATGAGGGGTGGGGACCAAGCCGATCGGCGCCGCCTCAGAGACCTTTGTTTTGGTGGGTGGGGGGAGGCGAGAAGCGGACTTGTTTTGTCGCAAAGGTTTACACGGAACCGGACTGACACGCCGAGTTCCCCAATTCTTTTGTCCTGCAGGCCTATTTTCCAAGTTATGTCTGTGACTCTCAGTCTGGTGGATCCAGAACTTCGATCCGTGCTGAGCGTGTACGAGGTTTTTTTATATCTGCATGTGAGAGAGGTTTTGTGCGTGTGTGTGCGCGCGTGTGTATTTAAAAACAAAAGCCTTTTTCCCTCTCTGCATCGCTGGATGGTGCAGCAGAACCGGAGGTACTCTGGACAGAGCCAAAAACTGGCCTTCTGCTCTCTTTCTTGTGCCAGTAGAAAAGGAGGCGATCTCTTAATTTATAATTGAAACAAAGGGACCAGAAAAGTTTGACTGGGAAGCGATACGATCTCAGCTCAGCTGTTCTCCCAGAAGGTCACTGCATGGACACAGGGATCACTGTGGAGGGAGAAGGGCATTGTTTACTACTTGTGCTCTTATTTGTTTTGAGTCCTCAAATTCAGTTTCCCCCCCCCAAAAGATTGTATTTGTGTGTTTGACTTTTTATTGAAACTATTTAAGTAAACATGTTCTAACTACTTTATCTGTGTGCCTCTTTTAATATGCTACAAATGTTTCCCCATAAAGCAGCTTGATTCTTTTGCTTTCATGTTGAAAAAATAGGGGCTTTCCTTCTGTGAAGTTGAAGACTTGCTGTTTCTTCAGGAACAGTTTTAACTACTGCTGGTCTTTTCCGTCTGTAGAGCTTAGAGGGAGTGGAGGGGTGTTGTTTTTGTTACACCTTGGCAGCAGCTTAATAGCTCCGCTGTCTTTGTTTCCTCTTTGAAATGGCTTCTTCGAGGTAAACCTTAGGATAATTGGGGCATAGTACCTTCCCTGTTAGCTCTCCTTTCCTACTTTTTTCCGTCTTCCCCGTATTTTCCCCGGCCGATCAGATCTGACGTTTTCGTATGTGCCACGATATTGTGCCTTGCTCCTTTCTCTGCCTCGCGTCATTCTCCCGAGGTTTCTTGGGAGTTGCTCACTTCCCCCACCCCACCCCCATCCGCTTTCCTTTTGATGTCAAGCTCGGAGCTTTGATGCAAAAGCTCTGGCGCTTAGGCAGCCGCTGGAGTCGTTCCCTTTCTCAGGCGACGGACGGGAAGGGGGAGGGGGCCGCGCAAAAGCCCCGAGGGGGCGGCCTCCCACACGCCTGGCTTCACTTCCTCGATCTCGCCAGCTCTGACCTCAGCTCCAGTGGGCGGAGCCTCCGGGCTCGAAAGGAGGGGGCTTTTCGCGCTGACGCAGAGGAAGATGTCCATATATGGCCAGTTTCTGCCTGGTGACGTTTCCTTCGCTGGTCGAGCTCCGTTCCGGGAACCCCCGCCCACGCTGCCAGGCAGAGGGCTCTGGACGATGTCAAGTTCCAGCCAAAGAAGGAAGAGGCGACGCTCTGGGGCTGGGAATGCCCCAGGGCGTGCTGCAGGCCCGCGAACCCCTGCGAGCCGGGGCGGGCGGGGCGCCGCTGGCCCGCGGAGGCCGCGCGGATGCCTCGTTCGCGGGCTTGCCCTGTGCGGAATGACACACCACACGTGGGGCTGGGTGTTTTTGTGCGTGCAAACTTTCCCATCACGGCAGCTATCGATGCTGGTAACTGAAACTGTAAACAGGCGTTTCAGCCTCAAGACCCCTCTTCTCGGTTTCTTGTGCTGGTGAAGGGGGAGCCTGTTGTCCTGGCTTTCAGAAATTTCCTTCCATGCGAATGGAAATAATGACAACAGTAACAAGTTAATCTTGCCTTTCTTTCGAGCAGAACAACAACCATTTGAAGCATCTTAGATGGCTGGAAAATGGGGGCCTTGCCTGAGTCTCCCCAGTTGCTGAACGGCAAGTTAGGCCCAGCTAGGTGTGAATGAACAGGGAATAGATACTGCTATCGCTTTGCCTGTGCTTAGTTTGCTGTTTCTTCATGGGTTCTTTTCCCAAGAGTTGGAGCACAGGGCGCCCACTCCTGTGGCAGGGCTGGAGTAAAACAACTGCTAGCCAGGCGCGCCTGTGGCACAGAGCGGCAGGAAGGGCAAGCTAAAACTCCCACCCTGCTGGAGTGCGAGGCAAAGCTATGGCTCAGAAGAGTGACCCATAGGCTGTCTTTTAAAACGCACCTGCTGCGTCACCTGCTGCTTGTGCCCCAAATGCTGCAGAAATGGAGCAATTGGTTCCACAGGCAGCCTCTGAAAAGAGCAGGAGGCTGGCTCAATGAATGTAAAATTCTTTAGGGGAAATAGTTTCAGGTCAATGGGGCCATAGTGGCAGATGTAAATAGATAGCAAGGGTAGGTGTGGTGTGATGTGGTAGTAACTGTGTGGAAGGACAGGGATTTTTTTTCTTAGGGGACTTTCAAGAGCTTTCTGTTCTGTTGGGAGAAAAGCAAAGAGGACCAGCACAGCTGTTTGAGCTGGGAACTATCAGAAGTGCTGCTCTCCCATGATCTCTCTCCTTTGCTGCTTGCCTGTAAGCCCCAGCCTATGAGCTGCTGCTCTTTCAGTCATGGCCATTGATGAACTCCGCAGGACAAGACATGCTAAAAATTCAGGAGATCCTTGGTTGCTTGTTGCCTTAATTCAAGTAATAACCTCTGCTGACATCCCTTGCTGCCCCTGATATGACGGGTGGGAAGGGTTCTGTCAGTGTGTGAGTACATTTGGAGCACCCTTTTGCCTTGGTGTCATCAGACCAATGCCCTTTATGGGACTGAGGGAGCGGGTGGCCCCATGGGTCCTCAGACACTGAATGCTGCTGAGAGAGCAGCAGCTTACAGTACAGCCATCCTACAGGACAGGGTTGGGAGGTGTGTGGTCCCCAGTTATTGCTGGACCTGACTCCCATCAGCCTTTGCCAACATCGCTAATTATGAGGGATGATGAGCATTGCAGTCCAACACGTGTAGGACCGTACATTCCCCATTTCTGCGGTAGGAAGAATGTAACTCCCAAACATTCTGTATGTGTGGTATAAGATCCAGCAGAGTACTGGACATGTGCGAGTGCCATTGTAGGCAGATCAAGGCAAGGGAGCGCATGGGGACAGGATGTGGGATTCATTTTTTTCCCTTCCCATCAACCATGCAGCCAGAGCAAAAGGTCAAGGTGACTCAGATAAAAGCTAATGGGACGGGAGACCTTAGGAGAGCATTTCTAATCAACCCTCAGGGCAAGGGCAGACTAAGGAAGGGCAGTGTTTGGATTTCCTACTTCCTGAACTTGGGACTACAAGCAGGCTTTATTAAAACAGATCCCAAACTGTTGTGATTGCACTGGAGTGACCAAGCCATCCTCCTCAGGCGGATGGGTTCAGGTGCAATAGTGCGCAGATGACAAAGGGAAAATGGCGTTGAGCAAGGGGGAGTGGTAGTGTTTCTCGTATCATCATGTTGCTGCTGAGAAAAGGAGAACTTCTTGTTAGCATTCTTGACCTCTATATGGTTCTCCAAAGGTGTGAAATGAACAAGTTTCAGTGAAAAATACACTTGCCAGTGGGACTGAGGAAACCAGTTCCTTGTAACAGCTACTCAGATGCCTCAGCAAGAGCCCAAATAGTGTGGTATTTGGATATCTAGATTAGGTACTGAGATGCAGGTAAAATCTTGCCCTAATCATTTTCATTTCATTTCAAATGTTCAACATAGTAAGGGTATACTCCCATGCATGTTTAAATCAAACACATCTTGAAGTTCCCATCATTCTCCAGCAGTCATGGACTGTGCCCGAAGTCAATTTCAGTTCCCCGCTCTTGGGCTGTTGCTGCCTTCCTTTGAAAGGTGATTGGTTGCCTTAGGTTTTTATTGTGGAAGGCTCCTGGGGCAATGAAAACAGTCGTTTCAGATGACATACCAACTCACACTCCGAGGCTGAATACAGGTTGTTGCATGAACCTAGCTGCAATAGCAAACCATGACGAACAACTCGCCGTTGAATAACAAGCTATGGGCTCTCTCCATGGCTTGTTCATGATTGATAAACCATGACTTGTTAGTGCAGCTAGTTTCAGACAGCACAATAACCCATGCACAGCCCTTGAAACTGGGTTAACATTTTATCTGAAACCAGTTAAGAGATCTGCATTGTAACGTTTCCTTTTGAAGAGCAGAAATAACCCTAATTGGGGAAGGTGGGCACTGGGATGCTCTCATTTTATTTTCCTGTTTTTAATAGGGAAAGATGGGATATAGAGAATCTTGGTTTAGAATGAACTGAGTGTCAGACACATGATTTGATTATAGGCTTTCTATATCTGGAAGATGAACTAAGGCAGCCATGGAGAATGTGTGGCCTTCCAGAAGCTGAACTAAGCCCTCGTCCTCCCTGGCGGCTGCTGAGGTCCAGCAACATCTCAGTAGACTTGGGCTGGGGAATCTGTGGCGAACGGATGGCAGAGAGCAGAAGCCAGGAAAACTGCAGGCTGAATGAATGAGGTCTAAATAGGCCTTGTGAGTCAGGGAGACGAGGGAGGGCCGGCCGGCCCATGGGAATAGCTCTCGGGCTTCCTGGGTTCTATTTCCATCCTTGGGTAGGGAGCGCAGGCTGACTGTGGTGGGTGTGGAAGGACATTAAAGGGAAAGCTGGGTACCAGCCTGCCACTGCCTCCCTCTCTGTGTTCCTCCTCCTCCTCCTCCTCCTCCTCCTCCAAGCTGCCTTCTTGTGGGCTCGACAAAGAATGACAGTACTGGTTATCTTCCGCAGAGGGGGCGGCGGGCAGGCAAGGTCCTTGCAGGACCTGCCAGGGGTTATCGTCAGGAACAGCCCGCCGTTTCCGGAAGCATGAGAAGCTGATGCGGAATGGAATGTGGCCGTGGTGGTGCGTGCCTCCGCCGAAGGCAGCGGCTGGGCTCGTGTGTCCGCGCACGGGCGGGCGGCTCGCTGCCCCCAGCCTCATGTCATGCCTCCAGGCTGGAGGCGAGGGAGGGGCTCTGTGGCATCCCCCGCCCCCACTTGAAGTCTAGGCGATGGAAACCGGAGGGTCAGGAGGGTGCGGCCAGGTACTGGGGACGGGTGATCGCTCTGGCACCACAAGGGAAACTTAAAGGAAGCCAAAGGGGAAGATGCGTGCAGTGGTGTTAAGACAGTGAGCAAAGAGTCGAAGGCACAAACCAAGGTTCAGCTACTAGGAGAGATGAGGAACAGTTCCTGGAGGAGAATTTCTGTCCTATAACCTAAGCAGGACGAGGTGACAGAACGCCTTTACCGCACCACTCTAAACAAGAGAGAGCAAGAGCTGCTGTGGTGCTGTTTTCAAAGGCAGAATTGCTCAATATGGATTTCTGCTTGTCTTTACAAGGAGGAAACTGTGACTGAGACCTTATGTTGATAAAAACAAGGAAGGGGAAAGGTCAAAGGCTTGGATAATTGTTCAAAACACAGGCCATCTGAATTGCTAGATCCTGGCAACATTTGCAGAAATGTTAATGGGGCAAACCTCTGACCTGCTAGCTCTCCTAATTGCAAATTCTTAGAAACCAGGTGTGTGATCCTACTTGATGCATTTCTTTCAGCATTTATCCTGTCTTTTCCAAGGGCTCAACATAGGTAGTAGCAGTGAACCC